TTATTACAATCTGAAATATACTATTTTGGCTACTTCTTGGGTGATACTGGGGCCTTAAAACATTTTTGAGAGTGTCTTTTGCTTTTGATTTTCAGCAGTTCTATTGGATGTGAGTTGGTGTCATTTTCTTTGCATTTATCCTGATTGTGGTTTGTAGAGCTTCTTGAATCTGTGGGATGATGTCGTTCTTTCATCCGTTTTAGAAGATTATACTTCATTATTGGTAATCTGTTCAAATATTGCCTCCTATCTTTTTTCAACTTTCCTCTTCTGAAACTCCAGAAATGTGTATTTTCAGCTCTCACTTTTTTCACTGTGTCTCATATGTCTTTTACGCTCTTGTGTATATGTCCACCCTTTTTCTGTGTAGATATTTTTTAGTAATTTTTTGTAGTTCATTGTCCTTCTACACTGTCTAATCTGCTCTTAAACCTATTAAGTTCTTAATTTCATTTCTAAAATTTCTAGTTGATTTTTTTTATGGAATCCAATTCTCTGTGAAGTTCTTCAAAATTTTATGCATGTTTCTCATCATTTCTCTGTTTTCTTAAATATATTGTTCATAGTTATTTCAAATCCCTTGTCTGATACTTCTGATATCTAGCTCTCCTCTGTTTCTGTTTTATTTTGGTTTTCAGGCCTTACTTTGGTATGCGAAGTAATTTTTTTTAATGTTATGCATTTCGTATGAAAGCAACAGTTATCAAACTTTTTAGTCAAAAGACTTTGTTATGTGGATTCTATCAACATTTACAATACTAGAAATTAAAACTGAGAAAGTTTTTAAGATATTTATCTAATTCATTTTAAAATGTTAAATTTGATATATGTTAATATAAGTAACATAATATTTATTAAAATTTGTATTTCCACAACGAAATTTTTAAAAACTAGTGAGTATAGTAGCATTTTTCTACATTTTTGCACATCTCCCTAATGTCTGGCTTAATAGAAAACACCTTGATTCTCATATCACCTTCTGCATTCATTTTCTTGTGATATGTTGTTTTGTTTAAATATTTGAAGAAAATACGACTTTACACCAATGGGTAGTTGGGAAAGGAAAGAGTATTTTATTTGTCTTTTCAGACAGTTGTGGATATTCTTCATTGCTACTAAATCAGAACTCAAAAAGTAGTAGTTTCTTAAAGATTAGTTGCTTTGTGGAACCTGTAACCATGCCAATGAACTTTCAGAGTCATTAAAATCCATTGGTCTATCTTGTACTTTTAATTAATTGTTTTTTACCTGTGCACAATTTTGTAACATCATTCATTGGTCATTTGGAAAATATTGCTTCAATGAGAGTTAGATTGTCCAATTGCTGATGCATTTCATTATACCACTATTTGTAAAGATGTTGTTCCCAGATTAGCAGCAGCGCCGCCTGGAAACTTGTTAGAAATGCCAGCTCTTTGGTTCTACCCTAGAACTATCAAATGAGAAACTCTGTGGTTGGGGCCCAGCAGTTTGTGTTTTTACCAAGCCCTCCTGGTGATTCTAATGTACACCAATGTTTGAGAACCACTGCTCGAAGGGTTCCAACTGAGTTCCTGGAGTGTTCATTGAGGCACCTGTGCTTGACAGGTTGTGATCTCAAATCACTGCCTCCTTAGCATTTCAAAACTTCCAAAAACTTGGCTGTGATTTTTAGAAGCATCCTGCTTTTTTCAGAAGTTTTCTGCTTTGCTTCTTAGTCTTCTGCTCTTACAAGTTCAGAATATGATTCATATTTAGAGGGAAAACCCTGCCGTATGTCAGGCTCCATTTTCAAGGCTGCCTTTTTCAGTTGGATTCTAAACCTTTGAGTCTACAGTTTCTGTCTTTCCGGTTCATGAGACTGCAAGAAGCCCTTCCTTCCTAGCAGCAGCATTCCTGGATCCTTTGGCCATACTTTTAACCTCCTGCTCCACAACAAAAATCAGCAAATACCCTAAGGGAAAAAGCAATTTTAGAATGTCATCTTACTTCTCTACTTCCCTCTTCTTCCAGAATCTTTGGATCCTCAGGCTCTAGTCTCCTTAGCAGTTTCTCTATAACACTAATAAACAGGTAGGTTGTTTCCTTTTTGTTTTTAATTTTGTCTGGCTTTTTTGGTTGTTTTCAATGTGAGCAATGGTCTCTAACAAGCTACTCCATCATAACCAAAAACAGAAGTAAAGGGAGTTACTTTAGAGGCAGTATGACAAATGAATTGGCTACTAGATCATTTAGGAGGCTGGTGTGGTAATTGTAGTGAGAAATAATAGTGTCCTAGTTCAGAGTGGAGACAAGAAAGTGAGTTTGAAATAAATTTTGGAAATAGAATCAACAATTATTGCTGACTGATTTGATTTAGGAAATTAAATATTTTTCCTTGATTTCTGAGTCAAAGAATTAGGTAGATAGTAGAGCGATTTACTGAAACGGGGATGATTTAGAAGGGACAGGTGGATTGTAAACAGGTTTGGGAGAAAAAGAATACTGTCTTGACGTTAAATGAAGTACTCAGTAGAAAATTCTAGTGGAAATGGAGAGTAGGAACTGAGTAAATGAGTCTAGAATTCAGAAGAAGGGTCTAGACTTAATAATTGGGGAGTCATCAACTTAGAATGATGCTGAAACCAATCTTAAGAGGTCATGGAAAGTAAAGTTATGGATGGAAATAAGGAGAGGGAAAACAAAAACAAGATCCTGGTGTAAAGAACCCAAACATGTATGGATCAAGTTAGAAAAAGGAGAAATCAGCAAAGGAGACAGAAGGAAAAAATTAAGGAGAAAATGGTGCCATAAAAGCTAAGACAGGAATATATTTAAGGAAACCAAATGATCAACTATGCTGAATGCTGCTGTGGAACCATTAAGATGAGGATAGAGAGGAGGGTCTGTGGAATATTTTAGCATTGGATGACTTTGATGATCTTAAAAAGCAGTTTTAATTGGTGCTGGGTTTGGGAATGAAAAAATGAAGAAGTTGAGTAAGTATATACACAACTTTTTTGAAAAGTTTTGTGAGGAAGAGGAAGAGAAAAATGGAATAGTAGCTGCAAAAGAGAGATGAGACATTAAGGGAAAGAATGCCATTTTTGTTTTCTTTTGCTTTTTACTTTTTCTTTTCTTTCTTTCTTTTTTTTCTTTAAGAGATGGAGTCTTGTTCTGTCATCCAGGCTGGAGTGCAGTGGCCTGATCATAACTTACTATTTAATATAACCTTGAATTCCTGCACTCCAGTGATGCTCCTGATTCAGCCTCTCAAGGAGCTGGGACTACAGGCATGAGCCACCATGCCTGGCTAATTTTAAATTTTTTGTACAGTCTTGGACTCCTGGCCTCAAGCAGTCCCTCCACCTTGACCTCCCAAAGTGCTGGAATTACAGGCATGAGCCATTGCACTTGACCTGCATTTTACTTTTTTTAATATAGAAACTTGTTGAGTAATTCTTAACAGGTTTGTGTGTCAATGGAAATGATCAACTAGAGAAATTGATGATTTAGAGGAAATTAAATTTAAATTTGAATTCAGCAGGGATAAATATTCTTTTAGGTCTCAAATATAAATATAGGACAGAGATTTGGCAGTGTTTCACAGGAAAAAGAGCCATGGGGGTTTATTTGATCTCAAAGCCTATAAGATTCAACATTGTAAAGGCTGCTAAAAAGAGATTTATGCAGTCTTAAGCAGCATTAAAGGACACATAGTATCTTTATTAAAAAACCAAATATTATTACAATCCTCTGTACTTGTCATTCATTCATTCAGTTAACATTTATTTACCCAATTGTACTGAGCTAGGCAGTTAGATCTTATCTAGAATTTTGTATCTATTTCTGGATGCCAGATGTTGAAGGACCCTGACAAACTAAGTAGTACTCAGAGGAAACCGAACAGGATCATGATGACTCTAGAAATGATGTTGTATTAGCAATCATTCATTCATTCAACAAATATTTATTGAGTACTTAATGTAAACTACATTATATACCAGCCACTGAACATTATAACCAAAGACCTTGCCTTCATGGATCTTATATTCCACTGGGAGAGACAACAGTAGGTAGGTAGTTTGGTAGGTTAAAAATGGCCACAAATTCTTCATAGCTCCTCTCATCCAGAAGTGAAGTCTTTCTTCTCACCCTTTATATTTAAGTTGGTCTTATAATTTGCTTTGACCAGTAGAATATAGCAGAAGTGATACTGTATAAGTTCTGAGCCTAGGCCTCAAGAAACATTGCAGCTTCAGCTTTATTGAAATACAAAGGAGTCAGCTGGGATTTTTGATAAGGATTGCATTGAATCTGCAAATCTGTTTGGGGAGTATTGCCATTTTAATAATGTTAAGTCTTCTCATCCATGAGAATAGGATGTTTTCCCGTTTATTTAGATCTTCCTTAATTTCTTTCAACAATGTTTTATAGCTTACAAGTATAAGTTTTACATCTCTTTTATTAAATTTATTCCTATTTTATTCTTTTTAATGCTACTATGAATAGAATTATTTTTATAATTTTATTTTCAGGTTGTTCATTACAAATGTATAGGAAGACAGTTGATTTTTGTGTATTGATCTTGTTTCCTGAAACCTCCCTGAACTCATTTATTAGTTCTAACAGTTTTTAGTGGATTCCTTAGGATTTCCTATATACAAGGTCATGTCACCTATGAATAGAGATAGTTTTACTTCTTGCTTTCTGTCAATGGAAAAAAAAAAACCAAACTCTGTAAAGTAATTTTAAAGAGATTTACTCTGAGCCAAATTTGAGGACCATGACCCGGAGCCACGCCCAAGAGGTCTTGAGCAGTAGACTCGGTGTGGCTGGGTTACAGTTTGGTTTTATACATTTCAGAGAGACAGGGGTTACAGGTAAAGTCATAAATCAATACATGGGAGGCATACATTGGTTTGGCCCAAAAAGGTGGGACATCTCAAAGCGGGGGCTTAGAAATTATAGGTGGATTTAGGGATTCATTAGTTGACCATTGACTGAGTTAGGTTTTGTCCAAAAGACCAGGAATCAGCTGAAAGGAATGTTTGAGGGTCTTTTATCTATTACATGATGTTATACCAGAATCAGGTTGGGAAGTAAACAACGTCATGAAAAACCTGTTTACTGAGATTTTATCATTTGTAGGCATGACTCATCTGGCCTCCTTACGAAAGAATTTTGAACAAAAGAAAAAGATCAGAATTTAGTCCTCAGTACCCTTAGGCCTGTTAATGGGTTAAAAAGGATGTCCCCAAGAAGGGAAGGGGGCATGATAAGGCATGTCTGACCTTCCTCCTGGCAGGCAATTTAGTTTTAGGATATTCCTCTGGCCACGAGGGGTCCATTTAGTCAGCCGGTGGGGGGTGAGCCTTAAAATTTTATTTTAGTTCACATTTCTAATGGAATGATTTTTTTTTTTTTTAACCTAAATGCCCTGGCTTCAGCCTCCAGTACATTGTTGAATAAAAATGGTAAAAACTGATATCCTTGTCTTATGTCTGATCTTACGAAAAAGCATCCAATCTTTCCCCACTCGGTATGATGTTAGATGTGGGTTAATTGTAGATGCCCTTTATCAGGTTGGGATACAACATACAAAAACTTAGAGAACTTCCTTCTATTCCTGGTTTGTTGAGTGGTTTTATTTCATAAAAGGGTATTGGATTTTGTTAAATGCTTTTTCTGCATCTGCTCAGACCATTATGTGAGCTTTGTTTTTCTTTTGATATAATCAATCGCATTAATTAGTTTTGGCTATTAAACCAATCTTGCATCCCTGTGATGTATCCCACTTAGCCGTGATGTATAATTTTTTTTGTATGTTTCTGGATTTAGTTTGCTAGTATTTTGTTGAGTATTTCTGCATCCATATTCATAAGAGATATTGATCACTAGTTTTCTTGTGATATTTTTGTCTGGTTTTGGTATAAAGATAATATAGGCCTCATATAATGAATTAGGAAGTATTCCCTTCTCCTCTATAAACTGAGTGCCTGGCCTTTTTTTCCTGGGTAGTTTTTTGATTACTGATTCAGTCTTTTCACTTGGTATTGGTCTATTCAAGTTGTCTATTTCTTCTTGAGTCAGTTTCAGTAGTTTCTGTTTTTCTTGGAATTTGTGCATTTTATCTAAGTTATCTAATTTGTTGACATACAGTTGTTCATAGTATTCTTTTATAATCCTTTTTATTTCTCTAAGGTTGACGGTAATGCCCCCTCTTTTATTTCCAATTCTAGTAATTTGAGTCTGTTCTCTTTTTTCTTGGTCACATGAGCTTAAAGGTTTGTTAATTTTGCCAGTCTTATGAAAGAATAAGGTTTTGTGTTCATGGATTTTTCTCTATTGCTTTTTTG